GGGGGGCGGGGACGGCCGGACCAGCGATGCCGGCGGGCATGACGAAGCATGGCTCGCGCTCCACCAGCTCGCTGCCGCCCGAGCCCATGGAGATCGTACGCAGCAAGGCGTGCTCACGCCGGGTGCGCCTCAACGTCGGGGGCCTGGCACACGAGGTGCTGTGGCGCACTCTGGACCGCCTGCCCCGCACGCGGCTGGGCAAGCTCCGGGACTGCAACACGCACGACTCTCTGCTCCAGGTGTGCGACGACTACAGCCTTGAGGACAATGAGTACTTCTTCGACCGCCACCCGGGCGCCTTTACCTCCATTCTCAATTTCTACCGCACGGGCCGCCTGCACATGATGGAGGAGATGTGCGCGCTGAGCTTCAGCCAGGAGCTGGACTACTGGGGCATCGATGAGATCTACCTGGAGTCCTGCTGTCAGGCCCGCTACCACCAGAAGAAGGAGCAGATGAACGAGGAGCTGAAGCGCGAGGCTGAGACTCTGCGGGAGCGGGAGGGCGAGGAGTTCGACAACACGTGCTGCGCCGAGAAGAGGAAGAAACTCTGGGACCTCCTGGAGAAGCCCAACTCCTCGGTGGCCGCCAAGGTGAGTCTGGGATCTGCTCCCCTGCTGGAGGCCTACGTCGCGGCTCCCGACTCCTCACGATGAGAACTAGTAAAAGGCAGGGACTCCAAGCAAGTTCTCCGAGGGCCACCACTCTTGTACCCTTCCCATGTGTCATAAGACACCCCCCTTGGATGATTCAGTGCTGTGTACCCCCACTTTGTTGGATGGAGATGGGTTTATAAGACTCTAAGATGCTACAACTGTAGTGAGAGCACTGGCTGGCTTTGCTGAGTAGAGTCTGGTGTCCTGCCTGTAGGCCCTAAGTCCAGGCCAGAGCAGTTAGCCCTGCCACTGTGGTATCCAGTCGTACTATAACCCCACTCCGCCATTAAGGAAGGGTATAAATGCATCCCACAGGCATGCTTGGTGGAGGCTGAGGCACACGTGGGTATTTTAAGAGATGACAGAAGACAGGGAAGGCTAGTGGCGAGGACAGGCCTGCCCAAAGGCTCAGACTGTGTGTGAGCGGCCCTTCCTGGTTTCTTGTTTATGGACTTGCAGTGTGGTGCAGTTTCGGTGGCTGTTGGAGGATATGGATTTCCGAATCAAAGCAGAGTATAAGCCGAGAGAATGAGACAGGAGTGAATGAGATCACTCAGGGTGGGCTGCTGGGCAAAGCCTTGGGGGGCCAGGAGGGGCTTGGGGTGAGGAGCTGGGCAGGTGCTATTCCTCTGAGTCAGGCAGGCACCAGGGAGTGTCTGGAGGGTGAGGGCTGCCTCACGTGGCCTGCGTGTTGGGTGCCAGGAGTAAATGACAGCGCAGTGTGTTCAGGGCTGCAAGGGAGGTTGGGAAGGGGCCCAGAAAAGAGATGTGTGGGAATCCAGAGAGATCAAGTTCAGAAAGAGACTAGAATGTCTCTGAGAGCCGAGCCCAGACAAGAGGACCAGAGGCAAGCGGCTGAAATTGTCTGTTCGGCTAGCCATAGTTTAGTAGCAAGGCCTGGCTCTTGGCCAGCCTGGCCTCTCAGTGTAGAGTCTTGGTAACTCAGCTGGCCGGCCCCTCACTGGTCCCTTCTCTGAGGGAACTCTGGGGTTATTTCCAGAGAACTGACTTGCTCCAGAAGGCTGCAGTAGACACAGGAAGGGCTGTCTGCTGGGATGAGAGGAAGAGCCCACAATCATTTTCTTTCCCTACTGGGCTCTGAGGATGTAGAGGCCCCTGGTCTTCCTCCTGGAAGATTCTGACCATAATCCTCCCCCAGTTTCCGTGTCCGGAAAGCCTCCCTCTAAGATGGAAGCCTTAGCCGGCTTAGGATCAACAGACTTATTTTGCTATTTCTAGGCCTGACACAGGTTCCCCCACTGCTCAGCCCATTGAGGCCCCGGGCAGGCCCCTCCTTCCTCACCTACTCCATCCTTAAGACCCTAGATCCAGGGACAGGAAGTGGGGATTTGCCCTCCCTGAGAAGAAACAGGCAAAGGACCGTGTTTGAATTGGCCTCTGGCTGCAGGGCACAGGCGAAGTCTCGCAAGAGGCAACGTGCGGGAATGAGCAGTCTCTCCTCTTTCTCCCCTTGGTCGGCTTACCTGGACAGTATCAAGACCTCACTGCAATCCCAGGCTGGGCTGTCAGCTCACACTCTGGCAGTTTCTGCAGCCAGAGATGAAATGAGAAGGTTCACTGGCTGTCAGTATAGAAACCCTAGACAGCCACGGATCCAATACCTGACAAATACAAGGCCCAGAGAGGTGAAGTCATTTGCCTAAGGTCACAAAGCACACATCTAGAAGTAGCCAGAAACGTGTCCCCTAGTGACATTTGGAACACCCCATTCTTTCTGTGCTGACTGGGGGCCACAAATGCCTCCCTGGAGCCTTCTCTCGCTTTGCTTCCCACAATCTTTTCCCCAGCAGCCCAAGGTGCAAGTCAGATTGCATTATTCATCTATTGAAACCCACGGAGGTTTCTGTCACATTCAGCATGAAATCCACATGCCACCATGTGCCTGAGGTCTAGATTCTGGCCCTTGGAGCTCTTTGGGCTCACCTCCCTGTTCTCTTCTGGTTCGTGTGGTCCCAGTCCCGCTGACTTCCTTACTGTTCTGCCCCAGGACCTTTTGCACTTACTTTTCTGGCGGCTGCCATTTGCCCAGATTGTTCCACAGGCCCCTTCTCTCCATGTCCATGGTCTCTACCCCACTGTTTTCCCCAGGAGACCCCCTTGACTCCTGTCTCCTCCCTGTACTCATGCAGTATCCTTCCTTAATGAGCTTTAAATACTATTTGAAATGGTATTTGGTCCACATGTTTCTGTTCCACACCCATAAGGATGTATCATACGCACTGCTGTGTTCCCAGCATGCATCACAATGCCTGGTTCAGAGAGCTTCAGGGGGTGTGTGGATGGATGGATGGATGGATGGATGGATGGATGGATGGATGGATAGATTGGTGGATTGGTGGGTGGATAATTCGATGAATTGGTGGGTGGATGAATGGGTGCATGGATTGGTAGATGGATGGGTAAGTGAATGAATGGATAGGTGGATGGATGGGTGGGTAATGGATGGATTGGTGGATAGATAGGTAGATGGATGTGTGGATGGTGGACAGGTAGATGGGTATGTGAATGGGTGGATAGATGATGGATGGGTGGATGGATTTATAGATTAGTGGATGGATAGATTGGTGAATGGAGAGGTGGATGGATGGATTGGTGGATGGATGGGTGGATATATCAAACAAGCAATCAGACACTGACTATCTCAGGGTCCTGGGTCCTGTCAGCCAGTTCTTTCTCACAGCCTCCCTGTGGCTCAGTTTCCAGCATCTCTGCTCTCTCTATCACCTGCACCTGGCCCGCTCCATCTGACAAGCTCCAAAGCTAAGCCTGTCAGCACCACGAGGCTTGGGGGAGGGGAGGACCCTCAGAAAACACAGAGGCTGAGGGTCAAATGTGTGGTCATCTCAAGGCGTCTGTGAGGTGCAGAATGGACGCCTCCCCATAGTCCGGAGAAAGAACCGACCCAGGCTGTAGGACCAGCCAGGTCCTCACTGCTCAGCACTAGTGGGAGGGCACTGTTGTTATCCGTGCTGAGCTGCTGTGTCCTTTCTCTGGGCAGGGTGGGTAGCAATCACTTTCCTCTTGATAGCGTCCTGGGGAGACTGAGCCGATGCAGTGAATAATTGATGGGCTGTCCTGCCAAGTAAGGGACCCGGATGCTCCATCAGGGGAATGAAGAACAAACCCATTAGTCTGTTTGGGAGGTAGGGTCAGCCCTGTCAGGGAGGCGGCACTGGCATGGCCTCCTCTGAGGCTCTGCTCTCCTGGAACAGTCTCAGGCTTCTCCGTGGGGTGTGAGGCGAGCTAATGTGTGAGGCCAGAGTCTCTGGATTACAGCTCCAAGACAGCATCCAAATTGCCAGAGTGTTTATTGCGCTGGGCACAGATCAGTGGTCTCTGTAGCTGGTGTGATCCAGACATTGCTTCTGCAGCCTTCCTGGGTAGTGGGGTGCCCACTAGGGCTTCTCTGGGTTGTAAGTGACAAAGCAGAAAACTCCAAGCAGCTTCAGTAAGGAGGAAGATGTGTCACGTCACGTTGTCTCTTGCCACTCCAGGACAGCAGAGGTTTGGGTTGAGTTGATGGTTCGGTAATCCTGCCAGGATTCTAGATTGTGTGTGGGCATGTGTGTGCGTGTGTGTGTTTAATTACATTTATTTGTTGCTTTGTATGTGTGTGAGAGCATGTATGGAGGCCAGTTTGGTGGTGGTGGGGGAGTTCAGTTCTCTCCTTCCACCATGTGACTCAGGCTTGGTGCAGAGTCCTTACCTGCTGAGCCATCTTGCTGATTCTAAATGTTGTTGCTTTGAACTATGTGTACTTTGTTACATTTATTTATTTATTATTTATTTTGTGTGTGTCTGTGTGTGCATGCAATAATACTGTTGTGGAGGGAACCACTGTGGGAGGTGGACATTGGTTCTCTCCTTCTACCATGTGGGTCCTGGGAATTGAACTCTGGTCATCCGGCCTGGTGGTAAGCGCAGTCCTCCACTGCACCTTCTCGCCAGCCCAGGATTCAAGATTCTGTCCGTCTCTCTGCTTCTCTAGACCCCGCAAAGGACTTGGTACTTACGCTTGACGCCTCATATCAGAAGGTGACTGTCACGTCTCAGCCCTCAAATGTAGCACAGTGCTGTCTACCCTGCAAAGAGGGGGATTTTCTCCTGTGCTCCAAAATCTGCTCAATTGTGTTTTCCTTTGAGGACAGCCTCTCCCAGGAGTACCCTAGCAGATGGTTTTAACAGTGTTGGCCATTGGTCATATACCTATATTTTAGGGTAAGGGAATCTGGGAAAGCAAGTGGCTGGGGTTTTCAGATGGTTCAGGGCGTGTGTTTGACAAGTGAAAACAAGATTTTCCCAGTATAGGAAACAGACTCTGTGGAGTGACTTGCTTCACCTAGGCTAAAAGGATTGGTAACTGTGTGTTAAAGGAGTGGAAATGGTGGAGTCATGTCTTAATTGCTGTAGCTAATTTTAAAAGAAAGCATTTAATTTGGGGTTTGTTTCCAGCTTCAGAAGGTTAGGCCGTGACCATCATAGCAGGGAGCGTGGCAGCAGGTAGGCATAGCTGAGATCTGCGAGCAGACTGGGCTTGGCCTGAGCTTTGGAAACCTCTAACCCCTCCCCCAGTGACACACCTCCTCCAAGAAGGCCACGCCTCCTAATCCTTCCCAAATACTTCCACCAACTGGGGGCCAAACATTTGAATGTTTGAGCCTATGGGGGCCACTCTCATTCAAATGACATCAAGGTCTAGACCCAGATTCTTCTCAAGCTTGGATGTACCAGTTATACTATCTGAGTCGGTTTGTCTACCCAATGGGGACAGTGGCCACATCTACCCTTGGGGATATTCTAATGAGTCAAGGGATTTCAGATGTGAGTGTAGTTTGAGAATAGAAATTATAAGGGTAAAGCTGGGAGTGATGGGTGGCAGAAGTCTTTAATCCCAGCACTCAGGAGGCAGAGGCAGG